AATATCAAACGATTTTTCGGTTTTTAATATGAAAAATGAATGAATGTTTTTAAACCCTGGTAATTTCGACAGGATGCCGAATACCTGAAGTCTGGCCGATTAAGCAATAAAGTTGTTGGTGACGATGAGGACGCGGAAGTGACCCAGATCCTGGCCATGCACCTGCCCACACTCGAGTACGACGCCACCGGCGCAAATGATGGCGAAATTTCGCCAAAATATAACCACCCCCACAACCTATACTTCTCCCACAACGACTACGTTTCGCAATAGCAAGGACAACAAATCATTTTGCAACAACAACAATATCAAGAACAACAATTTGCCACGTTTAGACGCCGAAATAGACGGGGTAAAAAATCTTGGCAAGATTTGCAATGGAAAAAGATGAGGAAAATTGATGGTTAGGTTGGAATATTACACTCTAAATAAAATCATTACCAAATCATTACCAAAATGCACATGTATATGACTCTGCAGAAACGGTAATAATAACCACCAGCTGGTAAAGAAATTGATTGAACCCGAAGTGGTAATAAAGAACACTTTTTGGGATAAAATTAATACCATGATGTATGAGAGATGCACTACAATGTGTAGTAAAATGTCTACCGCCTGGTAATAAACCATACCACTTTGTGCACGGAGTGCTATTCATACCGGTATTAATGCTTTGTGTTATGTATACCCCATTATTACCAAATGTTGTGCAGATTTCCACCGAAAAGAATAGATTTTTTGTTTTTCTTTACAATAATCTTTCAATCAATTATATTTATTGTAAAACAATGAGACATAATCACATAATTATAAAATTTAAGTATAATGCAAACTATGCAGTTACATACATACACATGTATTTATACATATTAACATGAAACTTAAATCGAACTAAATATTTTATAGTTTTGCCGTACACTTACCTTAAATTTTTGTTTCACTGAAAAACTAAACACAAAAGATTATTATTTTTATTATTTACTTGTTCCTATTAAGATGGTGCTCGATCACCATTTTGATAACTTATCAATGATAAGGCACCAACATATGATAATTTGATTTGATACTTACCTGATTCCAAAAATTCTATATAATTTCCATGAGTTTTTATCAGTTATTTTCCACGGGCATAATTGGATTAATTTCGCCGTGTCGACTTGAGTTGAGCTGAGCGGAAACTAAAACAAATGCGCACTGTTTAGCGTCTCACATTTCACACTAAATGTATTAAAATTCTTACCTATATGGTAATAAACTACACCAAAATGTAGGTCTCATCGGCACCACAACGGAAACAATTTGTACTACACTTTATTAAAATTATGGTAAAGAGTGTTATCCAAATTTGTAGGGTATAATTACCGACTCGTAGGAATTTATTACCAAAATCATATAGATAACTTAAAACATTGCGGTGGAAGGCTAGTTACTGGTTTGGTATTGATACGGTAATAACCCCGTATAATTTTTGTAGGACGCGTAATTACCAAGAGCTCGGTAAAGACGTTTATTAGGAATTCTTTACCAAGTTGCTAAGAGTGTACGAAATCCGAAAGTTTTTAGAAAATTTTACAAATGTTTCGAAGGAAAATTAGCAATTTTTCAATTATCAAAATTTTTATCCAATTTTTAAAATATTTTAAAATTTTAACATAAAATCGTCTCACATCGTTGAATATTTACAAAATATACGTGTTTTTCGGATAATAGCAGGAATATTTAGAAATATTTATATCAGAAAACTTAGAAATGTGTAAAATATTTTGAAACTTTGTGATCTATACGAGTTAAGAGAAACCTTGATTGACGATCAGTCCTTGTCAAATGAAAAAGTTGAAAAATAAATACATATCCGCGGTCTGATAATTACCTAAAAAATCCCTATTTTTATTATTCCCGGCACAGATCACGTCCCCACCTCGGAAGAACTGGAGTCCTCGTCTTCCTCCCTGGACGAGGAATCTTCCCCCACCAGGGGTCGCACCTCAGGTCGCGCCACTTACTGCGCGCGGCGCGCTCACCACCACCACCGCCATCACAAAAGTAGTAACAAGTCCACCTCGGGATCTTCAAATAGTGGGGGCGGCGGGGGGCAAATCATCCCGCGCGTCCGGTCCAGCTCTGGTTACTCCTCGCACACGGAGGAGACGTCTTTCACCACGAGGGAACAACGGCCCCCAAAATTTTCAGAGGAAAATTTTCGAAAATTTTCGAAAAACGTGGAGGATCAGCTTCTTCCCGGAAATGAGGAAGTTTCTGAAGCGAAAGCGTTTTCAATGAAACGAAATCAGAGAAAACAAAGGCAAAGTCGAAGTAAAAATAAGGGAGGGTTTCATATCGATGTTTGACACGAGTAGATGGGCACTTGGCCCCTTAAGAAAGTAAATTTAATGTGGAAATGTTTGCGATAATTTTGCAATTTCGAAGAGGAGCTTAAAGTCGGTTATAATTACATATATGTATCCCCATATTTGACAAAGGTACAAAGTTTGTGTAATTACACTAATTTTTGTGGGAATTTAATTAATGTCGTTAAGAAAGTGGCTTAATTATCTGTTTAACATTCTCTACTATGTATTATGTAAATGATACTGATGGATTTACAATTTTGAAATTATCAGATGAAATTATCAGATGAAATTATGAAATTTATAGAAAGTTTTATATACAACTTTTTATGAAAAAGTCTATTTATGAAATTTTGTGAATAATATAATAATATAATAATAATAGCCTTTATTATCCTCATTTACTAGTACTAGGGAATGCACAAAAATTGAGCATAGCACACTAGCCTATTTTCGTGAGCTTCCATCCTATTTAAGCCATTACTACTACCGTCAACGACGTCAAATTATAAATTTAACTAGATGAACAAAACAAAACTAACTCGCTACCTACTGGCGCGACTATGTTGGTTGCATACCAAGACTAGTAATGTTTGTAAAATTTAGATACATATAAGATAATCCAATATTTAACCAATTGACAAATTTTAATTAATAACTTACTTAAATTATAAATTGTGTTGGAAAAATGCACAAAAAACCAACTAAATTTTGAAATACAAACCAATTTTTGATTACCCAACCAACCGAGGAGTGAGGGACAGAGGCCGCGTGGTAATTCAGATTGTAAAAAAACACATTAAAATAAAGAATTAATAAACAAATTTTGACTGGAATAGTTGACCAGCTTGATAAAGAACGATTTTCGCACATTGCCAATTAAAATTAATGTTATTACCAATTAAATTTAGTTAAAATTAATATAATATAAATAAATTTAGGAGAGCTCGTGCAAGAGCAAATCCTCCTCGGTTGGCGCGCAGACGGGGAATGACTATTTTGAATTTTATAAATTTAAAAGAATTCACTTAATTATGTGAGTATTAAAATTTATAAAAAATATCCTTCTAAATTATGACCCTTCATATGTTAGATAAAGACTTTATCATAAAGTTATATAAAAAAACTATAAATGTGCTGTTATCAGATAAGATGGGTGGTTATCGCACGTTTTGTATAATTTTTACACGTGAAAATAAAATGTTATCAAATCATTCGAAACTAAAATATCCAACCAAAACTCTGGTATTGTTTCCGAAGTGAAAGTTCCCACTTTTCTGATGGAATTTCATTGATACTTATGGTTTATAGTGGAGTGATCGTGTCAGGTCACTGGAAAAATGAGATTGTCTCAATTTTGCATGTGTTTACCCCCGACGTCTCAATTCGCCTCGATCTTAGATAAATTCAGCTTGAAATTTTCAAGCTGAAAATAATTTTGCATCTCTGTATTTATCAACAAATTTTCAATTACAAAGTGCGAATTTATGACCGTGAGAAATAAACTGTGTTACCTTACCCCGACCGAACAATCCCTTTTAGTTAAGCTTTGTCTCAATTTGCCTCAGCTTCAAACAAGATATTTGAAGTTTTGCCCCCTCCATGGGGATGATACGAATTCGAAATTTGCAAAACAATTTTGCACAGATTGGCTCACAAAGTAAATAACCACGATCTAATCTCGGCGTAGTTTTTTTTACACAAGATTAAAGTGGGTGACGACAAAATTCGCAAGAAATGTTTATACGTAACGTGCTGAAAAAGGTATAAGTAATGGAAATTTCCATATTTATAGTGCATCTAAAGTGACCCTAGCTTTGCATATTCATCCTTATTAATTGTCACCACTTTAGTTTTGTCGCCCATACTTTTAAAAATAGAATAAGGGTATTTTATAATGGAATGTTTAGTTAAAAAGGTACATATTGTCGTCCAGATGGAGGTCGGAATGTAAAAACTACACGGTTATTCACGGTTATGTTATTTATGAGTTTTTTTATGCAAAAAATACTTTTAAGAATGAGAATAACGTCATTTTAAATAAATTGTGAAGAAAGGTATACTTAAAAAATGTGAAGCAAGATAGACTGGAAATAATTATTGTATGCATTATATAAATATATTGGAAATGATTTCGCGAATTTTTTTGTCTGCTCAAATTTTTGTTTAGTGCCAATTTTTTTGGAAAGAATAATATCCGCTTTGCCCAGTGTTTCGAGTGGAGTAACCACGTGCAAGAAACGGAAAGAAAGTGTTTTTTTGCAGGGATTTTGACCTGCATGAAATGCACGGCTGTAGAAACTCCGTCCCGCCGCTATCCTTGATAGGGCACGTGGCTAGATGGCGCATATTTCGTGCAGTTTCTTGCACCAGAGGTTGACGCCGCCGATCATACGCCGCCGAACTCCGGTGTATTTTACGCGCCACCGCCGCCGAAAAATTTGATTTTCAATTCTTTTCTCATTTCCACCCCGCCGAAAAATCACTATCCTTAGGGATAGTGGCAGACAATTTTTCATTTTCATGAAAACAATTTTCATGATCGGGATATTGCGTGTACTAGTACTACTAGTGGGCTGGGAATTCGGAGAAATAATGCAACAACACGATGCTATGCTACTGAGGTTCTACCCCTCCCTGCCTTTTGGTATTGTGTCCACTAAATGTGGTTTTATTAGAAGGGAGCTTGAATATATAATGTCGAAGGATTTTTACCTTCCAGGTTACTTGTCTCGAAAATAGTAGTTAAAACTCAACCAGCTGAACGCTCCTTAAAGCTAAGTCCTTCTGATCAACTTTTTCTACCGTAATCTCTTTCTCAGTCCGTGCCATGGCAAGCTTTTCCTGGAAGTAGACAGCTGGTTCATCATTTACCACCACCTTGATAGTAGTATATCTGTTTTTAGCATATCGCTTATCACACTAAATGCCAACATTATGGTCACCTCAAATCGACCACCTTGGTATACAATTTCAACACGAAAATTCGCCTTTGGGGTCAGGGATGAGAAGAAGGCATACTCTGGTTGACCCCATCCGCGAGAACTGTGACATATGTTGAAAACAGTGCGTCCTTCCGACCAGCGAGGATTCATATGGAATAGCGTATTCGACCCTTCTTTCACATTTATCGCGAATCTGGCGGCAGACACATGTTTTAAAAAACTCATTGCAAATACCTAATGCAATTTCTTACTAAACTGCCTGCAATACTTACTGGAATGGGTTTGCAGATATTTTTCCTTCAACCGTCAATCTAAAGCGAGAGCCATGGCTCCCCATATTCACCTTTGCGGAGGAGATAAGGAGTTTTCTAAACCAAAAGCAATGCACGGTATGAGTAATCAAATAGTATGAAGCTATTCCTCTTGACCTACCAAGAACGAAGGGTGCTTATCCATGATCAGTGTTCGAGGCATTGTGATAAATAAATTTCAAGGGAATACGGGGATGGAACTTTAGACAAAATTTATGCAGTCCAGCGGTGAATTGATACTGACGGCTGAGCAAATTGGTTTATGACAATTAATACGATTATGCGAATTAATGACGTCACTAGATAAGCAAAGAATTTTAATTTATAAAATAAAATCATTAAAACCCATATTCATTAAAACTCATGTTCACTAAAATCCATGAACTTAGATTACCCAACCATAACCCATGAGTTTAATTATGTAGGAAGTATGCTCAGATTCCTAATATATAGGAATAATTCGTTCCATCACCTTGTATAGCCAGCCAAGCAGCTTAACTATTAGGTCAACCGACCAGGTCCTAACTAGGCAGATGACATTACTCATAATTTGTAAATGATTACTTCATCTATCAAACTGAAAATAACGTAATCGAGTAACTGGTGATAAACCCCTTGAACACTCGTCATCTTGTTGAAATTATCACATACCACCCTACACAATGCTAACGTACCGTGTGCAAAAGTTTTACAAAATTGTCCAATTTAGCCAGGTGCCTGAGGAGTGTTTCCCCATGGGATTGTAAATTGAGGTTACTACATAATATATAGATTGCTCAGGTTTAACCAGTCTGTGGGATTTGATTGTATTGATGAGCTGATCGGTTTCGCTATATTTGAGAAAAATAGAGGTTGGGTTTTAGCTTTCGAAGCAGTCTGGTGCAATATTTCTCCCACGTTAGATAGGGAAATTTTTAGGACCAAACTATTGAATGGAAATTGTCCCTCGAAACTTTCCCGCCTCGCATGCAAACATGGAATTCAGACAATATTCGTCCGAAAACCATGTGCCTAAAGTGGAACAGATAATCAAAATTGTACCCAAAGTGGTTAAGAAAGTGAATATCGTCGTTGAAGAATGGAACATAGCTATTGCCATTCTGTGTTAAATAATAATAATGAGGATTTATTTGTTCACGCAAAATCAGTCCATTACATTTTTAGCAAAATAAGATCAAACCCCATCAAGTGGGAAATACTTGACCTTATACATTTCTACAACATATCATGCTTTATATTTCATATAATTTTCGTCACATAATCATACCAAGAATACACAGTTGACGTCTGCTTTTTTGACTCCCGGATGGTGCACTCTATGACTTGAGGCAGAGTGAGATTGGCCGACGGGCTTATAATAGTGCTGCTGCTCGCAATTGCGAGCTATATTACTAGTTTAATAATATAATTCAGTACAAATCGAGTAATTAGTTATAATTTTAACAAATAATCTTTCAGCTTCTCTTTAAAACTCGTATAACACATTTCGTTCCTTAGCTCATCGGATAACTCATTCCATAATCATATTGCTCTAAAATTAAAAGATTTTTTAGCAAATTCAGTTTTCGGTTTCATACCGCTTCGATAATTATTTATAACACCTCTAGTTGCATAATTGTGGATCTCACTTTGTTTTACAAATTTGCCCGCAAAGTAAGGAACACCATTTAATCGAATTCTTTTAAACATGATACACAATGTTTTAGAAGAACACATTTCTGTCGGAAACAACCAATTTAAACCAGATTTTATCGATTCTGATACGGAATCATATTTCCGATAAATAAGGAAAGAGCCTTCACCATTCGCTGTCAAATAAAAAAGGGACCTTCTCCAAACTCCGAGTTTTTCCAGGAGAGTGAGAAACAAGCAATCTGAAAGTCTGAAATCAACTCTAACAAATATTTATTTCGAGAAGTATATAACTTGCTAAAAATGATAATAATAGCGAAATAAACATATGTTAGCTAAGTGATTATTATCATTCTTAACAAATTATATACTTCTCAAATTATGATATGACGTATATACAAATTAGGTATGTGGTCAGTTATCATAAATGATAACTGATAAAAAGAACACCTAAACGATATCAAGAACAAAAATGTCAAATCAGCGGTGGCATTACACCAGGGTTCGGAAAAACCCAGGGTTTTAATAAAAAAGTAACGACCCAGGGGTTTTAATGGGTTTTAATGGGTTTTTTGGGTTTTAATGGGTTTTATGGGTTTTATTGGATTTTATTAGGTTTTACATAAGCAATACATTGAACAACAATTTTCACTACTATTGCAATCCAATTTCAGTTAATATGCAAATCCTCCTTGTCCATGTTAGAATTTGTATCCGTTTCGAAATGGTCCTATTTAACTGATCGTAATCTAATACTTTATGTGACCATAACTAATTACATATATTACCTTTTTCTCGAATGCTTCCTCTCATCATAATGAAATCCAAGTTGTTTAAACTTTTTAAAATTTAATATTTCAATGCGATCTTAACGTGTATTATCAATTCTGGAAAAAATCTAGTACTTATGGAACAATGAAACTTATGGAACAACAAAAGTACGTATGTATTATGATCAGGAATATACTAAGTGATTTTTACAGACACACTTCTTTTGCTCATAATAAAGTACTTCGTTGTCCATAAGTACTCGATTTTTTCAGAGGTGATAATTATGATCGCCTTGAAACATTTTAAAAAACTTTATAAATTAAAAAAATACTATAGTATTTTGTTTAATTTATTCGCTGAGATGAGAGGAAGTATTCGGGAAAAAAGTATTAATTATGACAGCAAAATGTAAATTAAATGTAATTAAATTATGTATGCTCAGTTAAACATACCGTTCCGAAATTATTTTTTATTTATTTTTTGTCACTTGAAACCTGTAATGGCACTCGCTGATTTATTCCTGGTTTTCAAAACTTACAGTATTAATCAAATAGACTGCTAGCTGCCATAAAACAACTTCGTCTAACGTATGACAGCTGTTTTCAGCTTTTAGAACCCATTAAAACCCGAATAAAACCCATTAAAACCCCAATAAAACCCATTTAACATGGTAAAACTCAATGGGTTTTATTCGTTAACAACCCATTAAAACCCATTAAAACCCAAAAAACCCAACCCAATAAAACCCTGGGTCGGAATACCCTGCATTACACATTTTAGAAAATCCAAGTCATCGGATAACAGAAGACTCAGCAAGTCTTATTGTCGCTGAAAGAAGAAATTTTCAAAGAAAATTTCTTGAAAGTTTGCACATAAGAAAAACTACCGACGCCATAAACCAAGACAATGGAATGAATATCAACCCCATCTGGTCATCATTAATGCTACCGCTTATTTAACCTCCATAACTGCTGGTGGGAAATCCCCGGGAGAAAGTATTGGAGAAAGTGGTGGTGAGAGTGCTTTGGGAGAAAACGAGGCGTCCACGCTGAGCACGTGGCTCCTGATCGTGTTCCCCTCCATCCTAGCACTCGTCATGGTCACCGCCGTCATCTCATTCTTCTGCTACATCCGGAGAAAACGTAAGTTTATTACGATAAAAAAATAATAATTTGGTCAGAAATTAAAGTTTTCAAAATTGCCAAAAGTTTGCCATATTTTAGCATAAATATCTCAAATACTGGTTAAAACAGCCCACAATTCAAAGATTCGAAGAAACCGGACCTACTCACTTATTTTTTTGCGGAAACAGGTTCAGCTAAAGAGATATTCAGAACTTTAAAAAATTCATTTGCATCAAATTTACCACGTTTGCAACAAAATCAATGTTCGCAAAAATTTCCAGAGTTGAATTGGTTGAAAAAAATATTAGTTTTGCAATAGTGTAAAATTAGCGAAACATTCAAAGTTTAAACAAAATATGTGCATTGACAATTTATATTTACGACGTGTGCGAGTTAAACGTCATTTGTGAATTGTCTGGAACGTTGAAGTATAAATTTACTAAATGTAGATAGATATAATTGGAATAATTGGCCTAGAGAAAAAATTAGCGAAAAAAATTCGTAAATTCGAATTTCGAACATTTACCGTAAAAACTGGCTAAGCGTTCGCTAATTTTATTAATGATTATTTAGCTACTAAAAATTACTCAAATTTTAAGTTCTCACATCACAATCGTTACAGCACGAAAAAATGCTATGAAATATATATTAATTAACTTATAATGTCCATATTTTTGATAATTTTATAACAAGCATTTCATATATATTTTTATGAAATGAAATTATTTTTTTATGAAAATATAAATTCTTGATTTTATTAAAAAATATATTTTTAGGAATTTTGGGCATTCCACACGCGAAAATGGTGATTAGTGACCACAATTATGCCGGATCTGGCGATGAGACGTCCTATCTTGACCGTGGAGGAGGTCAAGGTCATGGTCAAGGTCAGGGTGGAATCATGTACGATGCAGCCACTCCGCATCAGAATTACACGCTCGTCAAGGGGCCCCAAGGCCATGGGTACCCGCCCCATCTGACCATACATGCACATTCATTCATTTAATGATGAATGAATAAATTATTCATTCAATATTCAAAAATTGAATGAATATTGAATGAATATTTTATTCTGATTTTTTAATAAATGAATATTGAATGAATATCTATTCAATTCGTGTGATTGAATAATGAATGAATATTCTTTTCATCATTCATTTTTGCTCAATAAGTAATACATAGGGAAAGTTAAGAAATTCATCTAATGCCGCGAATTTTAGATAAAATGAATAATAAGCGAATAAGGAATGAATATTTTTTTTATGGCTTTAAATCATTGAACGTTGAACGAAAAAATACTTTTTGAACATGTATGCATCTGACCGCTACCAAAGGGAGAGGAGCTTGCAGGAGGTAAAGTAAAATATAAGGAAAATTTGACAATATAATTTTGAGACTATTGAAAATTTTTAATTTACGAAAAATATCGCTCACGGACTAAACGTTGGTCTTCGCTTGTCGAATTTTGAATACTTAATATATTTGAATACTTAATATAGAGCACTTCGGGCTGAATAACCTTTTT